CCCCCGCTCGCGGCTCCGCTGCGCGCTTCGCATAAGGAGAGCTCGGGCGGGCGGGGCGCGCGGCGGGCGCTGTCCGGGCGGCGCGGGCCTTGGCACTGGGGACTTAACACTTCATGCTTCTCGCCGCCTCTTCTGCTTGGCGCTTTTTAATTTTTCCTTTTTTTTTTTTCTTCCCTTTTTTCCTCCTCTTTCCTCGCTCCCTCGCTCTGTCTCTTCCTCCGCGCAAAGTGCACGACAGAGGTGCAGCTCGGCTGGCGGAAAGGGAGGGGAGGGGGAGTGAAGTTCTTTCTTGCTTTTTTTTTTTTTTTTCAAAACAGCGAAGTCCCGGGAAAGGAAAATTAAAAAAAAATAATAATAATAAGGTGAGGCAGCGAGCAAAAGGGGGGTAAGGCCGAGCAGACAAGCAGCCCAAGCTACAGCTAGGAGATGAAAAAAGATTTTAAAGCCTCTGATCCAGCAAGAAGAGTTTAAAGCAATTGCGGAGTTTTATAGCACTCGTGACGTCAGGCCCAAATGGGAAATTGACTGGCACTCACGGCCAATCAGAGGCGGCGAGAGCGGCCGCGATTAGCATAATAGTATAGAAACAAGGAAACTTTTCGGAGCTGTCAATCAGGGCCCAATCAGCTGACTGTCAGCTGGGACGGGCTGAGTTAACCCTTGCGGTGCCGCTGCTCCAGCGGAGGGAAGAAGAGACTGAGGGAGGGAGCTGGCCCCGGCTCAAAGTTTAGTGCCAGAGCGAGAGTTTTCTCGAGGGACAGCCGGACGCTGGAGGACCCACGAGGACAGTGTACTTCCTCCGGAGCGCGACAGAGGCCTCTGGCTCCCAAGCCCGCGCTGCCCGCCACCCGCTCCCCTCACCCCCGGTGCCCTGGCCTCGGGGTGGTGAATTGGCCTTGCCGCTGGCTTTTTTCCCCTTCCTCTCTGCACCTTCAGCACCCCAGGTCTCTGCCGGGGGATCCCCCCTTCCCCTCGCCTGGCTGTGCCCTGGAGCTCCAACTTGGCCCAACTCTTTGTCCCTCTCCCGGTGCTGTGCGCTGGGCCGGCTGGGGGACGACGCCTGGCTGTGCGCCTGCCTATGGCGTGCGGTCCGCAGAGGCAGAAAGCCCCTGGACCACCCTCTTGGAAAGGAGGGAAATACGTTGTTTCAGGCCATTAGGAGAGGGGGCTTAGCGGGCCGCTGGCGTCGCGCACCTTTGCGGGGCAAGCGTCTGCAAGAGCGAGAGCGAGTTAACTGGGAAAGCTCGAGTCCGTTCCCGGCTCGGCCCTGGCTCCGGACTCTGGCTGGAGTTTGGCCTCTGAGATTTCTGTATTTCTTTCGCTCTGTCAGTCCATCCCTATCTGAAAATCTGACATCCTCCCCCTTTGAAAAATACCAAGATCTGTGTTCCCTCTGCGCTTTCACATTTCACTTAATTCTTTTGGATTTGGTCATGACCCGGAACGGGAGGCGGGCGATTCCCCGGACCTCCGTAGCTCTCCTGCAAGGGTTAAATTTTAAACAGCTTTTTCTGGACAAGTCCGGAAACCCAGAGTTTAGGAGAGGTGGAAGAACCCCCCCCCCAACCCCCCCCCCCGCGCAAATAGCTAATAACTGGTTTACGTTTCTAGATCGATTCGTTTAAAGCTGTGAAAAAAAAAAAAGACAAAACAAAGAAAGAGAAGCGAGAAAGAAAAAGAAAAGAGCCCAACAACTCTTTTCTAAGATTTTAAAGCGATAGGCGAGTCTGAGAAGCTGAGATTTATTTGGGAGAAAGCAAGATTGCATGAAGCTGTCCCACGCCTTTGGAAGACCAGCCCACCTGCTTGGAAATTGGGAGTGTTGATTCCACTAATTAACGTAATGCGTTCGGTGTTAATCGTATTTATTTTATTTTCTGGAGTGGGGAGGACGTTAGGAGAGTGCACCGGAATAAAAAAAAAAAAAAAATCCGAGAAGCCTGCAAAAGTATCCAAGAGTGGGAACTATTGTTGGACCGTCTTGGTTTTTACCTCAACAGCGCCACCTTTCGGCAAAGGTCAGTTGAAATTGATCCGTGTCCAGTTTTGTTGAAGTAGAAAAAAGCTGGTTTCCCAGGGTGGGAGGAGGACAGGGGCTCGGGGAAGTTAGTGGCACTGCAGTCAGTCAGAGAACCCGACATTGTAGCAAAGGGGCCGGAGAAAGGGTTAGCAGATGTGGGAATCATTTTTACCCCCACTGTCCTCCTTCATTGTGAAGAGGGGCCACGGAACCCAAAGCCCTGCGGCTAAAATTCTGGCTGAAAGAACTCTGGTAGTGGATACGTGTAACAGGGCCCCAAACCCTTTAAAAGAACCAGGATGGATTTTCAACGGGCTTTATGGCAATATCAATAGAATTAAAGTTACTTGTAATTCAGTGATAAATGAGATGTCTCCAGTGAGTAAGATTAAGTGCAGTGCTATAAAGTTGTTTATCTGAAAAGTAATTCTCAGAAAACCTGACTTCTGACACCTGGTCATATATTAAGCCAGCTTCTTGACCGTTGCACTTCAGAATGGTCTGACCCACCCGCAGCGGCATACTTTACTATTTATAAGGAGACCTGAGGTGTCTCCCTCGCTTTGCGCAGCCATCAGACCTGTGCGGATTTCTTGGATCCTGGCTGCCTTGGGGCTGAGCAAACCCAGGAAATGGTCCTGGAAGGCTCTCCAGAAGAGTTGTAGGGACATCCAATCCCAGATGGCCAGCGCTATTGGTACTTTCCAGAGAGACATTTCGGGTTTTTTTTTGTTTTGTTTTGTTTTGTTTTGTTTTGTTTTTTTTTCACCATCGCTGTAGAAAAGTTGTTTATAAGCAGAGTTTGGGTCTACCAGGAGTACTTTGTTAGGGTAGAATGAACTCTACCTAGTTCCGGTTTGGGGAAAAGAGTGATGATTATTTCAACTTTTATGCAACCCACAAGAATGCCCTTGCTTTCTTCCTCTTTAACAATATTTTACCTAGAAATGAAGTTAGGGGATTATAGTTTTATGTACTCATAAGAAAATCCACTGCCTAAGTTACTTAACATTAGGTTGTTTAGCATTGTTCGTAGCATTCATTTTCCAGGTCTTTCAAAAATTCACTGGCAGCAAAATCTGAAATCTATATATCTCATGGAAAATATAGTTTTTATGTATTTAGGAAGAAATAATTCTTTCTTGTTTATGACGATTAAAAATCCTTTTGGGTCACTTTTTTTGTTGTTGTTAAGAGCTGTAAAGTATGATCCCTACCTCTCAAAAAAATACTTTTGGCCAGGAACACTGAAACTGTTGCGTTTATAAATAAACATTTTATAAACAAAGTTTGCTAATGACAAAGACCATGCCGTAGAGTTTCATGGCCATGTACCTAATTGTTGCAATTATCTATCATTTTTAGAAATGAAATGCCTATGTTTGGGCAGCTAAATGTATTATTATCTGCACATTTTTATGGTTTCTTTTTGTTCACTGCTGTCAAGCCATGATGTTTTTCTTTCTCTTATTGCAGAGTCATTTATAGCCTCCCATTTTCTCTTGAAAACAGAGAGGCTCAGAATTATGTTTTAGATATGTAGCAGGCATGCTCTCGGGCTTACAGCTTAATTCTCATTTTTGTCCTTTTTACTTTATTATTTAGTGATTCACAGGGGTGTCTAAACATTTACAGTTCTTTGTTAGCAGCATTTCTTTTATAACAATTGAACTCTCTCATTTTAATTAGTACTATTCAGGTTTCTGATGCTCTACAATTACTGCAGGCCACATTTCTTTAGACTTCTTTGCTAACGTTGTTTGTTTCACTTCTATCCAAGCCAATCTAATTCAAATACAATATGAGCTGTGTTTTCTTACTGCTTAATATCCCCTCAGTATATATATTCTAGAAATCTCTGTAGAACAATATACAGTAATTCAGAAACCATGCGTTTGTCATTATTGACCAATTCAAATCAGTAGCATTAAAGTTTCTGAAAGCAATGAATATTTATAGAAGATCCCGAGGCAGAGGAGGGCACGGGTCGAATCCCATAGAAGATTTCACAATAGTAACAAGAACACAATTGTAGTTTCATGACTGTGCATCCATAACAACTTCATGGGAAAAGGAGAATGAGGAGAGAGGAGAAAGAAGAGAGAGAAGAGGAGTGTGTGTGTGTGTGTGTGTGTGTGTGTGTGAGAGAGAGAGAGAGAGAGAGAGAGAGAGAGAGAGAGAAAGAGAAAAAGAAAAGAGGAAAAAGGAGACAAAGACAGAAAAAGAAGAGGGAGAGAGAGGAGAGAAAAAGAAAGGAAGAAAAGAGGAAAGAGGAGAGA